AGAGGGGGGGGGGCGGGCGGGCGGGCGGGGAGAGGGAGAGGGAGAGGGAAGAGGGGGAGGGAGGGCGGGAAGGGGGGGGAAGGGGGGGCAGCAGGAGAGCCGCCGGCTCTCTCACCCTGCGGCCGAGGTCCGCCACCTCCTCCTCCTCAGGCAGACTCACGAGCCGCTCGACCATGGGGGAGACCATGGGGGAGGCGACCGCGCCGATCGGGCCGGAGAGCGGCCTCGCGAGCGCCTCCGCCTCCTCCTCTGCCGAGAGCAAGCCGTCGCCTCCGCCCTCGCTGCGCGAGAAGAAGTCCGCCGCCGCCCGAAAGGCGCTCGCCGCGTACGTGATGTGCACGCCTGATTCGCTGACTCGCTCATGAGTGAAGTTGTTCACACACCAGGCGGCCGCCGCGTGCGTGCCGCGCGCGCCGCAGACTGAGACGACCGTGGTCGCCTCGTGGCCGCGGCCTGGCAACCTCTCGACCGAGTGGCTCACCGACAGCTGCGCCGAGCTGGCGGCGGCCGGCTCCGCCGCAGGGTCGGACCACAGAAGCCTCTTGAGCCGCGAGCCGGTCGAGTCGGCTGGCCGCGTCCCTCGCCCCGACGGGTACCCGTCCCCGCGGCAGTCTTGGACGGCGAGCGCCGCGCTCGAGACGCTGTACACGGCCGAGTCGGCGCTCTGGCGCGCGCCGATGCGGACGCCACCCATCCACGCCAGCAGCAGCGGGCCGCCTCCGTCCTCGAGGGCCAGCTCCACCGCCGGAAGGACGAGGTCTAGCCTGCGGACCACTGCGGCGGCTGCAGGCGGCGCCGGGGTCTCCTCTTGAGACGGCGGCTGCGGCAGCGCGGCAGCGGCGCTGTCGGCAGCGGCGGCCCGCTCTGTGGAAGCCTCCTCCCCGCCCGCGGCAGGCGGCGGAGCGGAGGCCGCGTCCCCGCCGCCGGCGAGGTTGCGGGAGACGACGCCCATGAGCAGGTCGTACTGCGCCTTGGAGCAGGTGCACACCAGCTCGCTCCCGCTCCCCGAGATGAGCGTCGCGCGGCCAGCGCTCGCGCCGACGCCGCGCTCCACAGACAGCCGCAGCGACACGTCCTCGATCATCTGCGACAGCCCGCCCGTCGCCTCGAGCGCCCCCTCCCCCTCCGGCAGCAGCGCAGACAGCTGCATGCGCTCGATCGCGACCACGATGCAGTCAAGCAGCTCGGCGCCACCACCCCCCGGCCCGGCCGCGGTCCGGCGCTCCAGCGAGTTGTGCACCGCGATGCTGCCCAGGTCGCCGCGCAAGCCATCCGACGAGTCGGGCTCGAAGGGCAGGAGGACGAGCGGACTGCCAACCTCGATGTCGAGCGCGATCGCAGACGCGTCCTCGGCGCCGTCCGCCAGCACCGACCGAGCCACCTGCACCACCGTGCTCGCCGTCGCGCTCATCAGCGCGCCCAGCACGCCCTCCTGCAGGTAGCCGACGATGCGCATCACCGCCGGGTGCCAGTAGCTCACGCGCACCGAGCTCATCCGCAGCCGCAGCGACGTGTCGCAACGCAACGCCGCCCGCGCCGCCGCCCGCGCCTCCTCCGCCGGCGAGTCGTACTCGAACGTGAGCAGCGATTGGGCGCCCTCGCGCAGGCCGAGCATCTCGTACTCGCCGCCCGCCACGGTGGACGTGTCCTGCACCGTCAAGTTGCCCAGCTGACCGTGGCGCGAAGAGGCGTGGCGCAGGCGGAGACGCGCGCGGGCGCCTGCGACGCCATCGGCCGAAACCCTCGCAACGCCCTCCACAGCGCGACGGCAGGGCCGCGACGCCACGGCGTCGCGTCGTCGGCGCGGGCGGTGAGGCCGGCGGAGGCACGTCTCGTGTGAGTGCTGCGGCGCCTCGCCTATTTGCGTCGGGGCGCGCGGACGGTAAAGTATTCTGTCAGGATGTGGATGGGATATATGTAGTGGCGTTCGGCGCGCACCGAGCGAGATCGGTGGCGTGCCTTGCGCCTCGACGGCGCGCCTGCACGATCGCCCCACGCCTCTGCGCGAAGCTCGCGACGGTGCAGCCTCGAGTGAACGTTGCGGCATCGCGAACGTTGCGGCATCTCTCGATCGAGAGGGACTGGGCACGGGCGAGGCGTCGCCGCGCAATGGTGTGTTCACGCGGGGGAGCCGGCGCGGCGACGCACGCGCGGGCCCGGCGAGGGCGAAGGCGGCGGCGGGGCCTTCTCGACCATCATCTCACGCTAGACCGTTCACAGCTTACACTCCCGAACGTGTAAGTGCCCATACAACCCCATCGCGCTCACGGCCATTCACTCAAATGCCCGTCAGCACAGACGCAGTTCAGCAGATCAGCAGAGCTCCCCTCGCGCCTCCCCGAGCCCAGCCCCTTAACCTCACGGCCATCAATTCAAATGTCCAGCGCGTCAGCACAGCAGCACGTCTCCCCGAGCCCAGCCCCACCGTCTCACGGCCATCAATTCAAATGTCCAGCGCGTCAGCACTGCAGCACGTCTACCTCATCTCCGGCTCCGGCGAGGCGAAAAAGCACGATAGCACGGCAGCACGTCTACCTCCACTCGGCTCCTAGCACCCACCCAGTCTACGTGGCACGACAGCACAGCAGCACGTCCCTCTCCACTCGGTCTCCTAACCCAGTCTTGGCACGACAGCACGGCAGCACGTCTCTCTCCACTCGGCTCCTGGCACCCACCCAGTCTACTTGGCACGACAGCACGGCAGCACGTCTCTCTCCACTCGGCTCCTAGCACCCACCCAGCCAGTCTCCTGGGCACGACAGCACGGCAGCACGTCTCTCTCGACTCGGCTCCTAGCACCCACCCAGCCAGTCTCCTTGGCACGACAGCACGGCAGCACGTCTCTCTCCACTCGGCTCCTAGCACCCACCCAGCCAGTCTCCTTGGCACGACAGCACGGCAGCACGTCTCTCTCCACTCGGTCTCCGGCACCACCCACAGTGTCTTGTCACGACAGCACGGCAGCACGTCTCTCTCCACTGGGCTCCCTCCCTCCCTCTTCACTCTCCTCTTCTCCCTCCAGCCCCTTTCTCTATTACGACTCTTATAACTCTTATTACTCTTATTACTCTTATTACTATTCCTATTCCTATTCCTATTGCTATTACTATTATTATCATTATGTTATTATTATTATTATTATTATTCTATTATTATATATTATATTATTATTATTATTATTATTATTATTATTATTATTATTATTATTATTATTATTATTAAGAGAGAGAGAGAGAGAGAGAGAGAGAGAGAGAGAGAGAGAGAGAGAGAGAGAGAAGGGGGGGAGGGCGCCAGGGGGGAAGAGACGTGCTGCCGTGCTGGCTTGCTGTGGCCCGGTGGTGCCCGGGAGGTGGGTTTGGAGGGACGTGCTGCGTTGCTGCCGTGCTATAAGGGACGGAGGGAGGGACCCAGCCGGGCTGGGGCCTGCTGCTGTGCTGCCGTGCTAAGGGTACATAGAGGGAGCCAGGCGGGAAGAGACGTGCTGCCGTGCTGGCTTGCTGTGGCCCGGTGGTGCCCGGGAGGTGGGTTTGGAGGGACGTGCTGCGTTGCTGCCGTGCTATAAGGGACGGAGGGAGGGACCCAGCCGGGCTGGGGCCTGCTGCTGTGCTGCCGTGCTAAGGGTACATAGAGGGAGCCAGGCGGGAAGAGACGTGCTGCCGTGCTGGCTTGCTGTGGCCCGGTGGTGCCCGGGAGGTGGGTTTGGAGGGACGTGCTGCGTTGCTGCCGTGCTATAAGGGACGGAGGGAGGGACCCAGCCGGGCCGGGGCCTGCTGCTGTGCTGCCGAGTGCCGTGCTAAGGGTACATAGAGGGAGCCAGGCGGGAAGAGACGTGCTGCCGTGCTGGCTTGCTGTGGCCCGGTGGTGCCCGGGAGGTGGGTTTGGAGGGACGTGCTGCGTTGCTGCCGTGCTATAAGGGACGGAGGGAGGGACCCAGCCGGGCCGGGGCCTGCTGCTGTGCTGCCGTGCTAAGGGTACATAGAGGGAGCCAGGCGGGAAGAGACGTGCTGCCGTGCTGGCTTGCTGTGGCCCGGTGGTGCCCCGGAGGTGAGTTTTGAGAGACGTGCTGCTGTGCTGGCGCGCTGCGCGAGGCCTCTCCAGGGCCGAGTGGAGAGGGGCGTGCTCCTGTGCTGACGCGCTGATCATTTGAATGGTCGTGAGCGTGAGGGAGCTGAGTTTTGACCGACGTGCTGCTGCGCTGACGCGCTGATCAGGCGCTGATCATTTGAATGGTCGTGAGCGTGAGGGAGCTGAGTTTTGAGAGACGTGCTGCTGTGCTGACGTGCTGCGCGAGGCCTCTCCAGGGCCGAATGGAAGAGACGTGGGAGCTAGATGCAGTAGGAGCAATGTTCCGAGCCTCGCCCGGCGAGTCGCCGCGCCGTGGCCACGTGGCGGCTAGTAGCAGTAGCACAATGTTCTGAGACTGGGGGGGGGGGGGGGGGGCCCCGGCCCCTAATAACCAAAAGAGGAATTTTTTCCCCCCCCCCCGCCCAAAAAGGGGGGGGGGGGGGGGGGGGGGCC